ACGAGATGCAAGCACCTCATGACAACGCATTGACCCAAGAGGGTGAGGTGCAGTCAGTAAACGAAGTGGTCAGTGCATAACAATGTAATCTCGCACGATTACGTGGTGACAATTTCACCTAAGAGGTTTCAAACTCTGCGCTACCCAGCGCCTGCAGAATGGCAACACATGCCTCATCGCGTGCGTATGCCACACGGATACGATCCGTTCCTGACGAGCTCACAACAGTGAGATGAGAAAGCTCATAGTCAGGTCGACGCGATAACGCGTTAGCCAAAACATTCTGTTTTCCCAGCTTATACTTCACCTCGAAGTTATACTCCGCGAAAAAGGAGAGCCAAAGAGCCATTCTCTGCGCAAGATGAGGCGATTGTGTCGCTGCGCGTAACGACGCATGATCGGTATCGATCAAAAACGGCTTTGAGCCCAACAGGTGAACCCTGAACTTAACAAGGGCATGCTTCATCGCAAGTAGCTCCTTGTCATGAACTGAATAGTTCTTCTCTGCAGCTTTCACCTGGCGAGAATCAAACGCGATGATGCGTTCTCGACCCTCAGCGTCAACTTGCAAGAGTGCACTGCCAATGGTAAGTCCGAAGCGTCACATACGACGCTAAACGGGCGATCAGGATCAGGTAGAGCCAGAATTGGCGCCTGAAGTATACTCTCCTTAATGGCTTCAAAAGCCTCGTGGTGCTCGGTGTTCCAAAACCATTCCACATCATTTTTCAGGAGATTCGATAATGGCCTAGCCACTTCCGCATAGTTGTGGCTATACTTATGCAAGTAATTTGCCAACCCAACAACTTGCGAAGGTCCGTCTAGCTTCTCGGAACCGGCCAATCCACTATGGCTTTGGCCTTAACAGGGTCTGCTCGGATTCCTTGTTTTCCAATGAAGCATCCCAAAAGGGGAATCTCTTCCGCACCGAAGAATGATTTTTTCAATATTGGCATATAACTTATGCATCCGTATGCAACCGAGCCAGCTCGCGGTGTTCGACGTGATTGTCCACATCAGTCTTGCCATTTTCGGCTCGACTATGGACGAATATATCGTCAAAGTATGTCTATGCATACGCCCTATGGGGCCGAAACAACTGTGTCACTAGACGGCTGAACGTTGAAGGTGCGTTAGACAGCCTTTGGGGCATCACTAACCACTTCCAAAGTATACCGCTCGGATCGCTGACCGCTGTCAGCGGAATATCACCAGATCGCATGAGCAGCTGGTAATATCCATCGACTAAGTCGAGGGCACTGTACATCGTACATCTCACCATATTGTTCTGAAGAACATCATTGTGAGGAATTTGTGTTTGAGCCGGGATAGTGGCTGCATTCGGCTTATTGTAAGCATGCACTATTCGCCACTTCCCATTAGGCTTCTTCACACAAAACGTAGGCTTAGAGTGAGGAGACTTACTCTCACGCACCATGCCAGCCGCGTGCTTTGCACAAAAGAACTCGTCAATGACGCCACATTGTTCTCGTGGCAGCGGCCACTGCCGCGTCACACAGTATTTAGTTCCTGGAACCAAGTCAATTTCATGACGTACACCTCTATCCGGAGGTAACCTCGTCGGAGGTTTTCTGGCGACAACATCTCCATATTCCTTCAACAAAGGAAAATAAGGATCCGAAGAATACTTCAGGATCTGCGACCCACTACGCGCGTTCAGCGCCTTCTTGGCATTCTCAAGAACTGCTTCATCCAAAAGCGATGAGGAGCTAAACTCCTTTTCCGGTCGTATAACGACCACTACGGCGATGTCGCCTGCCTGTAAGGCACTGCCAAACTCGGCAAAGGACAACTCGTCCAGCTCTAACAGAGCACTTACTGCGGGTATTGCTGAAAGAGCCACCGGTTCTTCGACATCCCAGTCAAACCATTGACTAGTGGATATAGCTGTTCGCTATCACCGCCACTCACGATATTATCATCGCTACTCATAATGCTCTCAGCATCCGACGCATTAGCGTCCACAGATGTACACACCTCAAGGTCAAAGACCACTTCGTTACTGACTGCACCTCACACTCTTAGGCAATGCCTCGTCATGGGGTGCTCGCACCTCGTTTTCCTCAAAGAAAACCGTCGTTTTTGACTTCTCCTCACCCTCTTGGGCTAGCATCTCGTCACTAGGTGCTTGCACCTCGCCGTCCTCAAAGACAACATCCATTTGTGACTTCACTCGGCCTTCCAGGGGCAGTTCCTCGTCAATCATGTCACTTGGACTCATGTCCTGACATCTTGGCTAGCAGCCACCAACACCACTCACGGTGTTTAATGATGTAACATCATTCTCATGACACATGTCATATGTGCCATCTAGTGGGTGCTCAACCACACTATCGACAGTCATTAGGCCTCGCCTAGGACTATTGTCCTCGACACTTACATTGTCTACAAAGTCGGATATTCCGACATCCAACATATTGACCGACTCGTTCAATATCCGTGCTAAAAGCGTTTTTGCTTCCTAGCAGAGGTGGGTTCATAACTCTCCAGAGCCCAACCAGGAGCATTGCGCGTTGCGCCTAAGGTCTTCGACCTCCAATCAATCCATGGCTCATGAAGTTCTAGCCATGCCATGCCTAAGATGAGGTCATACCTCGCATCCAGGTCTAAGACCAAACAGCTTTCCATGCTGTAAAAGTCCAAGAACTTTACATTTAAGTCCATCGGAACTCTGGGTACCGTAACACGCGTACCAGTCGCTAAGCGAACTGTGACTGTCACTTTCACGCGCTACAAGCACTTTAGCATACTGCTGACTACCTTCCATGGTGGCACGGCGCACATAATTGCCCGATGACCCCGAATCGATCAAAATGATCCATGGCTTATCAAAGCCCTTGATCGTCCCTTTGACGACTAGCAAGCCTGGCTTGCATTATCGTTCCGTTTTTGAGAGTTTGGGTCTTTTTGGGGATGGAATCTGTTTACTTCTACCTCCTAGAGCTTCAATACAAATCAGTTCTTCCGCGGGGCGCCCTACTGGGCTCTACCGTTCCCTCGCGGCAAACCAAAGGGTTTACCCATGGGGCGTCGGCCCTTCGAGGCCAAATATGCCTTTCACGCAGGGCATTTTGCCATCAAATGGCCTATGCTCTTGCAGATATAACATCTGCGCACAATTTGCTGCTCCGCAGCTTGAAGCTCCGCTTCTTCATCCTCCACTTGTCTACAGTCCACGGGTACAGACCCATCAGACGAGTGGTTATAAGTGGAAGGCATAGCAGCCTTGATGTTGGTCTCGGCATTCCATGCCACCCCAACAACTTCCTCGAATGAGGACGGGTCTACCCAGAAGAATTCCGTTCTGTCAACGCCAACTCGGAGGTCCTGCATGAAGACCGTGACGTTCAATGCCTCAGGCATAGGGTCTATGACCATGGCAGCAATGAGACTCACAACTATTGCACATATGCTGCAAGCTCACGCTTGCCTTGACGACACACCAAAAATCGCGACCGATTACGGTGTGCTTGGTTTTGGCGGTGCATACTGCCGGTTCATCTGAACTGTCAGATCGGCCCATGTTGGGAATGCATCTTGCAGTGATGCACCACATGTGAATGCCCACTGTTTGGCTAAGCCACCCAACATACCCGTGAAAAAGCTCACACGGTACGGTCATAGGTGATGCAGCTATAAACTTAGACGACTCAACTTTTTGGGAACCAAAGCATAACGTTATCACCTTCTTTGGCGTCGAACTTATCGACTTCCATTTGTATGGGTTTTGGTATGCGGACCACTTCTTGCGCCATAGTCGCCATGGGCGAAGGCGCAGAAAAAGACATATGTGCCTTTACATGCTCGACTAGAACGTGGTTATATTCATCAAGCATATGAATACGCTTCTTAACCTCTTCTTCGCTCTGGGTGATGAGGTATTCCACGCCCTTAGGGCCAAGGATAGGGAGCAGCTTTTGCAACCCTTCCTGTTGTACCTGTGACAGGCCAACCGGACATCTCATCGATGTCCATTCTCACGGAAAAGTAGTCAGACACAGCTGCGGGATTGACTACAAGTGCTACCAGGTGTAGCCGAGCTACTGTAGCTACGCCACATATGCACTATGTAGAGATGCAATATGTGCAGATGCACTATGTGCAAAAGAAGCAGTCAGACTACTGTAGCAAAGCTATGTATGCACTATGTGCAGAGTAAGACCAGCTCAGAGAGCTTCTGCGTCTTAGGGTGCTTAACATTCCTAGGCTAGCTCGTAAGCTTGTGCCTCTCGGTATTAACAACCGAGTCTCAGAGAGACTAGTATCAAAGATACAAATTTTTGATACTAGTCTCTTTGAGACACAATTGTTCTCAGGAGGAATAGAACGCTCAAGCTCTAAGGCTTATACAGCAGGTTTGCAACTGATCATATTTATGTGGATCTTCTACCACTAAATATAGAAGCACTATCCTATACTTAGTGCTAGTCACTATTTACTGGCTCTATAGCCTGTTATTATTATGCAAACATGCATAGTCACTATATTTTATATAAGTATGATGACCACGTGGCTCTGCCACGATGCGACTTTTCGTACTTCAGGTACGGTCACATCAAGCCTACTTATGTACCCAAGGTACAGCCACACCATATTGATGTGGCAGGTGTGTATATAAAATACACACCTTTGTGTAACCCCGTATACTTTTGTTTTGAGGCACAAGCGACATTGGTGCAGCTCCTAGAGCAACCCAAGAGTCTACAAACGTTCAATATTTCCCACGTCGTGAAAAATTGTAAGTGGCCATGTCGGGTAGAAAAATACACGAGCTGCTACTTTTGATAATTCTTGAGGTAAGAAATGAAGCTGAAAAGCAGTATAGAACATCACTATGACGAATTTTTAAGTCTCTCATGTAGATAATCCTTGACAAACACCACAGCATTGTTAGAGAAGTCCGTCTAACAGTAGGTGCGAAGAAAGACCAAAGAAATGGCTACATCGAAGCTCTAGAATTTGCGTCCAACAGGCTTTGATTACGACTGTGCTGCTGTAGCTTGTTCTACAAACTTGTCCGATGCAGCTTTATACTCGGTTACAAACCACGCAGACGCATTCTTTTGAACGAACTTGAGAAAGTCATTAAGACGAGCCTGAATCTGAAGTAACTCGCGAGGAGAAATGTTGGAGCTTGCCAATAAAACTGGTAATCGCACTACAACATCAAATTTCCCGTTAGTTATCGACTGCGTAGGTTCAAATTGCACAAACGTTTTCATTCTTGTTAGAACGCACCAAATAGACGGATGAGATGTTCGGCGCCATAGATCTGCGAGAGTGGCACGTCCTCTGTCTCCTTTTGGCGGAGCTCCTGATACTGTCGACGTTCCATGCGATAGAGCAGAATGGAGCTCAATGCACGATCAAAATAGGACTGCACTCCTTCCATAATACCTTCAATGTTCTTGTACTCCTTTTCATCGCTCACCTCGCCATTCCGCACCTTTGACTTTTTGAACTCCAAGTATGTCTTGATAATCTACAACATCCAACCAATATATCAATCAATACAATTAGTAGATCAATACAGTTGAGTCATCCATCCAACAAAACTCGAATCTCTTCTCACCTGATTAACGTTAGGCTTCCTAGGTAACGGTACAAATTTATATGGTGCATGAGTCACGTTCTTCCAGTCTTCCACGAGCTGTTTCTTGAGCAAAAACGGCATCTGAATATTAATTTGCTTCCCTGACATTTTCTCTGTTTGATTTTGCTCCTTGAGTCCTGAACACTCTTCATAGTCATTCTCTACATTTCGTTTCAACCGCTTGAACGGCGACTTGCAAGAACTAAGTGAATCCATTCTACCTGAACTTGTTTGTTTCTTTTTCGTTAGTTTTTTCTCCTTCTTGGCTTGTACAACATCTTCCTTGGCCTTTTGTTGCAGTATACGACTAGCCAATGTGTCCTCAAGCACACGATCGTGACGTACCCACTCGTCCCATTTCTTGGCCCATCCTTGATAGTGCACGTAAAACTGTGTGTTGGCCATTAATTGTCCTCCATCACCAGTCTTTTCTTTCACGCCTTGTCCATTGTCTACTTTTAATACCTTGGCATCGTATATCATTAGACCATGATATGCTAGCACCGTGTCACCTACTTTGATCACCATCTTATAACGGAGACAGAATGTGGGGTAGCACACTAGATTGGTATCTGCAGTAGAAACCTAAGATAGAGTGAAAGCTTCTTCAGATTAGGATAAACACTCCTTCATCGGCGTCAGGCGCACCTTAACAAACACACCAATGATAATGCATCAAGTACAATTCTCTTGACTCTTTGGATGTTATCTACATGGCACACAAACACACATGATCGATTCCAAAGTGTTAACTATGCTGTAGCCTATCATAGTAAGACACTTTCTTGTGCGTTTTGAATCGCGTGCTACACGGAAAATGCCTTGAAAAGCGCACAAAAGCAAGTAGCGTAGCTAACTTAATTCGTAGCCAAAACCTCGGTTCACTCTTGCTACTCGATCTCTCTCTTTTCTTTCAAATTCAGCAGCATCCACATTTCCTGCACGGTGTCACCACCCTTCGAAGTTTTACATTTAGTAAACTGCCATGCTATCTAGCAGAGGAATGTCCGCTTTATCGGACATGTAGCCGATATATTCGCGCAGCTTAGTCGGCCACTTCAAGTCACGAGCAAGTGTCAGTCCACGTAAATGACCGAAAAAGATAATATTGTCATAGCTGAGATTTTCATTCACGGACTGAAAGCTGATTTCGTCATAGCTGAGATTTTCATTCACCGACTGGTTGGAGTAAAACATGGGAACTAATCGCTCCAGTAACTTATTCGCCTGTTCCACTCACTCCGATGTCTTGGCCAGTGCATATTCAAATGAACCAATAGCTTTCTCTTTCTTAGCACGGTAAAAAAACATACTCGCGGCTTTCAAGCCGGGCAATTCGGCAAACGGGCCGCGTGCAAACGTGGGTGATACAGCTGACGGAACAGGTTGGCTGCGTCTTTTAGCCACTGTTTGAGCTCAGGACGGTTTGCCGACGGGGCCAAGACGGTCGGACCACCGTAATTTTTGTCCACATAAGAAAGAATATCCAAACTTTCGGAAAGGCGTGACCATTGGGTAACTGGAGTACAGGAACCTGCGTGAATCCAACGAGACGAATGGGGGCGACTTCATCGTGGTTGGCCAAGATAACGAGCTCATGGGGGATTTCCTTGAAGCCAAAGATCATACGCGCGCGTACGCAGAACGGACAATGGTCATAGATATACAGCTTCGGTACAGTTTTTTGGTACTTTAGCTTACGAGTGTATTGCCTATAGCCGAGCCAAAGGCAAAAGTCGTGACTAGTTCTACCACGTCTAACAGGCAAATGTGACCGATTTCTAAGATATTATATTAGCATATCAAATCGCAGAATAGATGATGTCTCACTTGATACCAAAAGCAAAAATTACGGAAAGAAGCAGTACATTTTAATCGGTAACGCTGCTAAGACTAAAAAACTGAAAAATCCAGAAAGCGTTGGTTTATAAGATTGAGTTACTTGAACTGTAACGGGGTTACGCAAAGATGTGTATTGTACTTACACACATGCTACACCATTTTGATGTGGCTGTGCTTGGAGTACATTGGGTTGGTGAGACCGTACCTAAGGTACAATGGATTCATATCGTAGCTGGGAGCCACGTGGCCGTAGTTATTGGTTAAGTACTATCTTTATATTTGTATATATAGTAGAAAAGCTGAAGTGTCAGTTAAATAGTGACTAGCATTAAGTATAGAGTAGGTGCTTTTACATTAGGGCTCGAAGATAAATCATAAATAAATCAGCTCAAAACGTGCTCTGTTAAGCCTGCGTTGCTTAAACACGTTCCTTAAAAAGAAATAGTATCTGTAGGACACGATCGCCAAGTATCTGTAGGGTGAGCTCCGCACGCACCGACAGCGTTCGGTGGTGCTTCTTTACCGGCTCGATGCTTTTGAGAGCAGTGATGAATTCCAAGTTATCGACTTGAGCGGTTCATTCGACTGCATTTTTGGGATGACGTGGCTTGCACGGCATCGACCTGACATTGATTGGCTGAACCGCACGGTTTAACCACGTGATCTTTATGTCAATGCGGTTGTCGCCGTTCTCAACAGACCGACGAGTACTTGGAAGCGTGTTGCTGTCGTGGTCCCCTACTCCACGACTGATCATGCCCCTTAAGTTTGCGGTGGCCCTTCTAGTGCGGCGTGTATCTCAGCAACCGGCTCCCTTACAGTCAAACAGTGGTTCCTGAGTCAAGAAACAAATCCGCAGCAGTTGTCTGATGATCGAGCAGTGACTCCCATGCGTGTACGTTCCTCCAGACCCCACGAAGGCGGAGACCTTCCGTGCGTCACAAGCGAGTAGTGGCTTCCGTACGAGTGCGAGCTGCAAATGTTGCGCCAAAGCAGAGTCTTCCAGTGCGTGCAGTTCCAATTAACCCCATCGAAGCAGCGGCTATCGATGCGTCACGAGCGAGAAGTGACTCCCGTGTTAGTTCCTTTGGAGGACACCACGTCGAGGCAGCGGCTTCCGATGAATTACGCGGAGGCAGTGGCTTCCGTACGACCGATTGTGCAATTGGTTCGTGTTACTGTGTTACATCGTCGCCTTGGGTGGCGTGCTCGTGTTTGTACTCCCTTGTGACACCATCTCTTCCGCCGGCGTCTCCATTCGAGATCATCAATGTCGTTAACAAGACTGATGCTGGTCCGCGCAGCCATTTGTTACAGGTCGCGAGTCCACCCGCGACGCTTCTGGTACTACGCAGCTTTTGAAGCTCTCTTTAGATGAGTTACTGCATGGTTTGAAGAGGGGAGACATCGAACAACTCGGTCTAGTCGTTCAAGATTCCGATCTAAACAACCACGTGCGTCCAGAATGGATGGAATCTATGTCCGCACGCGAAAAGCGCTTCGTGGCACAATTCTGGGAAGAACTTGCTGCGTCAAAGCACTCTGTTCTCGCGCTGGTGCGCGCATTTAGCGATGTCTTTGCTGACAAAATCCCTTCCAGTACTTCCTGCGAATAGGGGAGTGGGGCACAAGATTGATCTCGTGCCCGGTTCAAAGTACTGCGTCACTCGAAAGTGGCGGCTCCCTTGTAACCATGACGAAGCTGTTAACGCCTTCTTCGAAGGGCGTCGCGCCTTAGGTCACGTGTGTGAGAGCACGTCTCCCCATTGTAGTCCCACCTTGTGTCAAGAAGTGGACGGGAGGATGGCGCATCGATCATGCTTTTAACAAACTGAACGATGCGACTATTCCGGCGAATACGCCAATCCCTCGGAAGGACTTTCTTTTAAATGCCTTGTCGGGAAGCACAATTTTCTCGTCTTGGATTTGACAAACGGCTTCTACCAGATCTTGATGCGGACTCAAGATGTTACTCTCACTGCCGTCAGCACGCCTAGTGGTATGCTTTGGGAGTGGCTTGCTATTCCGCAAGGGCTCAAAAACGCCCCTGCTACTTTCAACCGCATGATCTCCCTCGTGCTTCGCCCGATTTGCGACTTTGCGCCGAGCTATCTAGATGACATCTTCGTGCATAGTCGCGCATCCGATGGTGCGACTGAATTCGATGTGCATCTTGGTCACTTTCCCAAAGTTTTTGAGGCGATGCGAAAAAAATGTATGCGAACCTGAAGAAATGCATCGTTTGTGTTGCAGAGGTCCCAGTGTTGGGCAGTTACGTGAGCGCAAAGGATGTTTGCGCTGATCCCAAAAAATCCTATCTGTTTGCTCATAGCCGGTTCTGAAAGACCAGAAGCACCTTCGACGATGGTTGGGTCTGGCCAACTACCTGCATCACTACGCCAAGGCCTTTGTGGCTGTGTATCATCATTATAAGAGCTGCTGAAGAAGGACGCTACGTGGGTGTGGCGTCAAGCGTATAAGGATGCATTCGACGAAATCAAGAAGAGGGTCTTGACAGCGCCTGTTACCGCTGCAGAATCATGAAGCGATATTTCGTGTTGTCTGTGACGCGAGTGATTGTGCTATCGGCTATGCGCTGATGCAACATGATAAAGCGGGGAAGGAACGCGTAGTCAGCTACCAATCTTGACAGCTAAAGCCTGCCGAGCGAAACTCTACCCGTTCATGACAAGGTGTTGCTTGCAATGCGCTATGCACTTGTGAAGTTTCGTGCTTATTGGCTTGAAAAGCAGACATTCGCCATTCACACGGGCCACGCGTCCTTGCGTACCGCCACGAAGAGTTCTCGTCAAATTCAGCGCATAGCGCCCTGGTTGTCATTCTTCGTGGAGTACAACTTTGTCGTGCATTACAACCCTAAATCGACCAACATCACTGCCAATGCCATGTCACGGCGTCCTGAATATGATTCTCGCGCCAGAGCTTCTGTTTCAGCAGCCCCAGAGTCGGATGATGATGATGTGCGGCTTGCGTTATACTCGGTATCAATGCTACGGCTGTGTCTGCAGTCAATCCTCTCAGCGCTGATATCGCGAAAGCGTATTCCCGCGATGACTTCTACTCGCCATTTGTCCGGTATTTGGGTAACTCCTCGGATGATGCGCTACGGTCCCTCTCGGCTTCTACTCGCGCCCACATCACGCGCTATGCTGTTGATGGTAAGTTTTTTACATACCAGATTGATCGTTTTGATTCTCCACGAACCTTCGTCCCCCCCGACGACGATCTTCGTGGGCGTATCCTCCATGAGTATCATGAAAGTGCGTCGAGCGGTCATTTGGGCCGCGAGAAGACATATCTTGCGCTGTCTCGGGACTTTTATTGGCCCGATATGTATAAGTGGCTGCGTAAGTGGGCTCGCTCTTGTGAGGTTTGCCAGCGTGTGAAGCCAGCTCCACTGTCACAGGCGCCCCTTTGCCCACTACCGATCGCCACGGAGGTTTAAAACTTCGTGATCATGGATTTCGTTCGTGTTTTACCCGCCGATGCGCAGGGGGCTTTGGCGTTTTGGTAATCGATGAAAGGTTTAGTAATATGGTTCGTCTTTCACCTGTTGCGGCTTCCATCACTGCGGAGGAGACAGCAGCTGTATTCGTCGACATGGTCTTCTGACATCATTACATCCTTTTACGATTGCTTCGGATCAAAATCCTTGCTTCACCGCTGCATTTTTGGTATCGGCTATTCGAGATATTTGGCACACGCCTAATGATGTCTACAGCTGCTCACCCTGAGACGGATGGACAGACTGAGAAGTCCAATCACGTCTTGGGGGATGTGTTGCGTAGCTACGATACTTCGTTTGCGTCATGAAGTTATTTCTCCCCATGGCCGAGTTTGCACTCAATAAACAGTCCACGCTTCGACAGGATTGACACCCTTCTTCGTGAACAACGCGCACTATCTCCGTGCACCTGTTATTTTGGTATTGACCGATTATTCTACTCGTGTTTGGGGAGGGAAAACTACGTGGAAAGACGCCTGCGACACCAAGACTCAGATGACTTGGTGTCGCAGGCGTCTTTCCACGTAGTTTTTAACGGCTCACGCGACGTTTCTCAGACTCGCGCTTCTGCTCAGAGCGTGATTCCTTCGTCTGCCATAGATGACGCGACTTAGACGCCAATTATGGAGCGCCGTGAAACTCATTTAGTTCCGTCACCGGGTGCAACATCCGACGTTGCTGTTCCGATGTTATACAGATTCAGAACGCTTATCAGCTTTTACAGTGATTGAAGCGTTCGTGCAACAACGTCAGTCCGTCGTGCGGTTTGTGCGCGACGCCATCGCCTCTGCCGTGGATAAACAAAAAGGTGTCCGCTGATCAACGCGGACGCAAGAATCTCGAGAAGTTTAAGGTTGGTACTTCTGTTCTGCTCTCAAAAAATGGAATACAGGATGCTTCGGTTAAGATTCTCGGCGCCACAAAGCTGGCACCGCGATATATTGGACCTTTTAATATCACCCAAGTTAAGGGTGATGCCTACACACTGGACATTCCTTCCTCGATGCGTCTCCAACCAACCTTCTATGTTGGCCGTCTTAAGCGTTACTGTACGACAGTTTCTTCCATCATCGCTTGACTCACCGCGGGCGCATACCGCGGTCCTCGATAACGTGGTCCCTCGTTGGATCAGGCTGGCGCAGCCCACGCAACACCGCGTTGTAACGATAAAGAGCGGCATTCAATTGTTCCAGACGCTTAAGACGCTGTGCTAATCCAGCAATCGCAGACGAAGCCTCCTCAGAGAGGCTCTCGGCAGC